GGATATTGTAGAAAATGGCTCAATTTGTTTACAGCGAAGGTGATATCAGGTCTAGTGTGAGTGAGGTATTGCAGACATCTTACAGCACTTCTGTAAGCAGATGGGTTTTTCAATGCATCTCCATTAGCCTTAGATATAGTTTTACCTACAAGAATAGGAGTTGGACAAGATTTTACATTCTCTAGTTCATATTGTCTGAGTAGCTCACCAATATATCTTATCTGGGTGAGATGAAGTCCCAATTCATGCCAATGCACTTCAATTCCCAGAAAATGATGTAGTTGTCCCATATCCTTGAGTGCAAAGCTCTTATTTAACTCGTCTATGAATTTCTACAATAGCTCAAAGTCATTCCCTGTCACCACAATGTCATCCACATAAATGAGTGCAAAAATGATTTGCTTTTCATTTTTAAAGTAGAACAATGATATGTCTACAACTGGTTGTTTGAACTTCTAGCTTAACAGTGTTGACTTCAACTTATCATTACAGGCCCTAGGTGCTTGTTTTAACCCATAGAGTGGCTTTTCTAAATTGCAAGTATAGCCAGGTTTTGATTGATCTTCAAAGCCTCAGGTTGGTTCATGTAAACATCTTCTTCAAGCTCACCATTTAGAAAGGCATTGTTAATGTCTACTTGCCTGATTTTCCAGTCCTTTGATACTGCCATGGAGAGTACAATTCTTAGCATTGAAGCTTTAATCACAGGGCTGAAGGTTTCAAGAAAATCTATTCCAGGCTCTTGATGAAAGCCCTTTGCCACTAGTCTTGCCTTCAGCCTCTGAACAGAACAATCTGGGTTTCTTTTCACTCTAAAAACCCATTTGTTTCCCAATATATTGTAGTTTGGTGATGGAGGAACAAGTTTCCAGGTCTTTGTTTTCATCAGAGCATTGAACTCTTCTTCCATGGCTTTCTTCCATTCCTTGCTTTTCATAGCTTCATTGACATTTTTTAGTTCTGATGTTTCAGAGAGGTTGTCAGCTAATTTTCCCAGGAATGCTTTAGATTTGAAAATTCCTGCTCTTGCCTTTGTGATCATAGGATGTTCTAACACGTTCCTTGCTCTTTGTTGAGGTCTAGCTTGTTGTTGACTGGTTGTGAATTTTGTTTCAGCTACTTCATCATTCTGAGATAGTTCAATTTCTATCTCCACACCTTGGTCCAATTCTTGATTGTTCATACCTCTGGTCAAGCTAATACTTCCATTTTCATCACTATTTATATCTTCACACTGATTGTTACTTGAGCTATGAGGTGTGTGATGCATTGCATTGTCTGCCTCTGGAAGAGCTATATCAACAGGACTTGACACGGGTTCAATGTAATGTGGCTGAGGTGGAAATTGAAAATAAGATACCATGGTTTCTTGTTTCACAGAGTTTAGGTGACTTTGATTTGAGAACATTGATTCAAAGGGGAATTCAAGCTCATTAAAAATGACATGCCTAGAGATATAGATTTTCCCTGTTGAGGTCAGGCACTTGTATACTTTATGAGAGTCACTGTAACCAATTAACACACATTTAGTTGAGTGGAAGCTGAATTTATGGTTTTGGTAAGGCATGAGGCAGGGGTAGCAGGTGCAGCCAAAGATTTTCAGTAATTTGTAGTCTGGTTCTTTACCATAGAGTGTCATAGAAGGTGATTTCATTTTTAGCACAGCTATAGGTAACCTGTTAATGAGATAGGTGGTGGCTTGAAAAGATTCCCACCAGTACTTTAATGGCATTTTGGTTTGTGCTAGGAGTGTTAGGCATGTCTCTGTAATATGTCTATGCTTTCTTTCAATCCTATCGTTTTGAGCTGAGGTGTGAGAGCAAGGATGTCTGAGTTCAACACCCTCTTGATTTAGAAATTTTGTAAAAGCTTTGTACTCACCTCCCCTGTTAGATTGAAGGATTTTTATTTTCTTTCCAAGTTTATTTTCCACTAGCTTCTTGAATTGAATGAACACACTTAGAGCTTCAGACTTTTGTTTTAGAGGATAGATCCAAATGAATCTACTGAAATCATCAAGGAAGGTTATATAGTATTTGAAACTGCATGTGGATTGGATAGGTGCTGGTCCCTATAGGTCAGTGTGTACGAGTTCAAGGGGTAATTTGGTATGTGAAGTTGAAAGGGAAAAAGACAATAAATGGGATTTGCCAAATTGACAAGCATCACAGAAGGAGTTGCTTTCATTCTCTTTTAACTTTTGATTGCAGATTTTGAGGACTTGAGACACCATTTGGCTAGATGGGTGTCCAAGCCTCTTGTGCCATATATGAGCTTGGGAATTTAGAGACTTATGACTAGACTCTAGACTAGGATTAAAAGATAGAACACTATAGCAGTAGTTATCTGAGTGATCAGGAGACTGAAGATGACTTTTGGTGTTTTGGTGAGGCAAGTCCAGTTGATATAGCCCTTCCTTGAGCTTCCCTTGTAGCATCACTTCCCTCGTTAGCTGATCCTTAACAAAACAGTGGTCAGAATAGAATTCCATATAAACTTTGTTATCGGAAGTCAACTGAGAAACGCTGATGAGGTTTTTCTTAATTTGAGGCACAATGAGCAGTTTATTTAAAACAAGAGTTTTATCATTCATGGTTGGAAGATGGCTTTTACCAAAGTGTGAAATCTATAGTTTGTTTCCATTTCCAACCATGACTTCTTCCTTACCAGTGTATTCATTGGCTGTAGTGAGGTTCTACTTGTCTGAAGTGATATGATTGCTGGCTCCAGTATCAGCAAATCAGGCTGGGTCATTCAACGTACTGGGAGTTGCAACATAAGCTGATGGTGCAGGTGAATGATTGTAAGTTGGCCTCTAATTTGGTGGAGCCACGGTATACCTTTCATCAAACCTAAAATTGTAGATGTTAGCCTTATGACCAACCTTTCCACAAACTTGACATATAGGCCTATCTCCACCATAAGAGGTTCCTCCCCTGTGTCTTCATCTTCTACCACCTCTGAAGTTTCTAAAACCAGAGAATCTACCATTAGCAAGTGGCGTGTTGGATCTGAAGTGGTAGTAGTTTGAACCAGATCTCTGGGAGAAATTTACCGAGGTTTGGTGATCAAGGTTAATTCCTGCCATTTCATTTCTAACTGTGTTGAGATGCTCCAATCTGCTTTCAAACGTCATTAATGTGTCTGCAGTTCTCCCCAAATAACGTTATCTCTACTATTGATCTGAACAACAATTGGGGTGTAATCTTCATCCAGGCCTGCCAGAACCTGAGTCACCAAGTCAGAATGAGGGATGGCCTTTCCAACAATTTCTAGGTTGTCTACCAGTAGCTTAACTTTGTTGAGGTATTGGTCAATGCTCATGGCTCCTTTTCTTATTTTCTGAAGCTCACCAGTAAGAAACGTTATCCTAGATCTGTTCTGAACTCCATAGTTATCCTTCACTGCTATCCACAATTCATTTGAGTTCTTGGTTCCCATAACTTTCATGTCTATATCAAGAGTCATGGAGGAGTAGAGCCAGCCCATTAGCAACTGGTCTGTTGACATCCACTGGTTGTATTCTGGGTTCTGTCATTTCAGGTAACGCCTTCACCAACAATCTGAGTGCCAATGAATTCTGGTGGACACAACTTTGTCCCCAAATGTATCATTCAAGGTCGTGTCCCCTGATTATGGGAAGGATCATTTTTTGCCACCGGAGGAAATTGTTTTGGTCAAGCTTAACTGATACTACTTGGGTTAAATTTACACCAAATGGTAAGGGATAATTGCTTCGTTGAACTGGACCAGCGTTGCTGCTAGAGATGGAGGCTGGAACGGAATTTGCATCAGTATTTTGAGGAGAGTTGCTGGCGTTTGCCATTGTAAAAGCTCTGATACCAAGTTGGAAATGTGAGTGAAATGGATAATAATTCAGCTAAGCTCAATGTTATTTGATCAGCCTTGAGCTGGTAAAAGTAATTACATAAGAAGATTCTAGATGATACAAGTGTGATTAGTTCCTAGAATAAAGGAGGTTGTTAGAATATGTTTACAACAGATTGGTAATGGTAGCATAAGAGTGAAACAACAAATAGACAGCAAGGATTCTATCTGGGCGAGCAACTGCTGAGCTGGAAGATGATGTTTAACTAACTCCTAACACGAAGTTTTCGCATCATGTTCTTTCTCTAGCCTTGGCCTTCATCCCACCTTATGCGATCAGCTCAAAGGTATTCCCTCTCCTAATTCTATATTTCCTAATTTTTTGGCTAATTATAATAAAAAAATATACTATATTGAATTATTAATTTTGAATAGAGAGGTTGGGTCCAACACTTGTAATTATCCGTAATTCTTTTCTTATTGTTATTAGTTGTGTTTTTATTTTGCTTTTTGTGGGTTATTTATGTTTCCTACTCGATGGGACATTAGGGTTGTTAATGCTGCAACTGGAACTGGGAAAACGGTGGCGTATTTTGCCCCAATCATTCATCATTTGCAGAATATTAATCCAAGAATTCAGCGGTCTGATGGTACTTTTGGTATGTTCGTTCCTGCAATTCCTAGCATATGCATGAAATTCCAGGCCAAAAACATTGAAATATGTGAAGTTCTTTTTTTTCAGCTATTTTCGGTATCTTTTATATTTGGGACTTTATCTTGCGTATGGAATTGAGGGTGGGTTGGTTTGTATTATTTGAATCTACAAAGTTGATTCCGGCTGCAATTTGAAATAATTCCTTTCAAGCTTAGATACAACTGATGAGTAGAGAATATAATTCTGATTTTCTTCAATAAAGTTTCTTGTTTCTTACAGACAACACAGCTTATTCCCATTAAATTCGGAGTCAGCTAAATGAATTTGTTTTCCAAAAAACTGTCAATAAGTTCAGGATAGAATGGAGTCTTTTGCTATATGCATAATATCAAATTTAATTCTGACGAATTAGATGGTTTGTGACCTTAGATTAACAAAACCTTTGGAAGATTTTGTTTGTAGGGCTTGAAAATGACATATAATCCCCCCATTCGAATTGTAAGTAACAATGTTATTCTTAATAGCGTTGGTCCTTGCCTTCACCAGTGCTTGTAACTATATCGATAGCATAAACTTCATTCTCCTCAAATTCAGTATCATCAACTTGCGTCTCGGGTGCTGAAACACTCAATACAACCTTGTTTCCATCAATTACAAATTGTTTCATTTGATGACTGAGAACCCCTTCAACAATCTTGCAGTCATAAGCAACAGCAACTTTCTGAATTACTTCAGTAACATCTTTGTTCTGCCATTAACAGAAACATAAAAATCATTAAAAGTTGTCGAAGAAAACAACATGAGACTTGAGTAAAAAAAATACACAACAAACATGGTATCAGGTTGCACATCACCAAGATACTTTTAACCAAGCTAGATTCGCAAATAGTAATTTTCTATTCCCAAATTATCTTGTCTAATAGGAACGTTGTGCATATCTACAGTTAATTCAGATCTAAAGCTCAACAGACAGACAAGATTGGTCGTTAATAT